AGAAATGGAATCCGAACCTGATCCGATTGTTCATTAATTTCACGCAGTGAGCTATGAGTACTTTCGCCCCCATCCTTTGCATAGGAACGATTTAAACTGCGGACTTCATTTACCAAAGTGTTGACTCCTTCACGCAGACGTGATGACAAACTTCCAGCTTGTAATACATCATCGTAACCTTTTTTCATTTGATTGACCAAAGATGCCAAACTCGGTGATAATGTGAGCGATGAATCATTTTTGTCAAAAGGCGAGTCAAAATTGCCTTAATTTCAATATATTTGCATAGCTCCAGTTTGATAAATTAGTAAGCTTAATTGAAAATCCAACCAACCGCCCAAAGAGTTTGAACGACACCCAATAGACTCCAAAGCATCGGAAAAATTACAATGTGTAAATGTATAATTATTCCACGAGTGTGTAAATGCATAATTATTTCCCGAATCCTTTTTTGAGTAACTACATGTTAATCGGACAAACAAATGTTTTAAAAAATGGGTGGAATAAAATGACCTTATTTCATTCGCCATACTATCAATACACATTTAAAATTTAAGCGGTGATCTCAATCAGCAGAATGAATGTGCCAGCCTAATTAAGAAATGACCCTAATAAATTCACTTAACAAATACTTGCAGTATTGCTGCGCATAAGTTTGCTGACAATTGGACTGCTTGTTAAGCCTCGAAGCCATGAATTCGATTTTTCATTCAGTCTCGAATCCACCGATCCATCATGCAGCAGCTAGAAAAAAGTACTTATAAGAAGTGACGACTAAAAAAAACCCATTCGAACTTGCAACAAAACAAATCATTTCCGCCTTTCTTCGCTTTTTTAAGACATAGTATCGTAATAATGGATTTATTTATTAAAATATTCGAGTAATGCTATTTCCACTAACTCATTTATTAATAGCTCACATACATAACCTGAGAACAGTTTTACAAATACCTCATTAGCAAATGGCGAGGTACTGTGCTCTTTTATGAATCGCAATCGACTTGGACTCATCGTTTCACCGATTTGTTTTGGTGTTGCTGTCGATAAATTCTGCGGCATATTCACAGCCCCCAATGGGTCGATTAATGAGTCACTTGAATTATTCCCTTCTGAGAATGCAACCTTAAAATGAGCTATATAATGATGAGGGACTACAATCAATAGCTAGTTTCACTAGAAAAAAAAGAAAAATAAGGAGTAAATATGGTTGAAATGATGTTCAAGATATCACTTGAAACTTAAAAACCAACTGCGGTATTCTCCAACTGCGATGACTGGTCGAGAATCGATTCACCTTCATCCACAGCAGCTGATGTTGGCATCTAAATTAACAAGAATATAATGTCACCATTTTAGAGGAAAACATTTTCACTCTTTTCAAACACAAAATTAGTTTTAGCTTTGTATGAATCAAATAAACCACATATGAAAAATATGTCTGAAAAAAACAAAAAATTTTCTTGGAGAATTACGAAAATGAAGATACCGAACTACCTCATTAGAGGACGGTTCAAATTCTTTCGCTACACTACCAGATGATGCATTCTCACTATGTGGCCAACTGTCAGCAGTAGATATCTGTAAAACAAATTTTAAGGTCATAATTCATAAAATACAGATGAAGCTGAACGAAGTTGGTAACGCTAACCGAACCAAACTGCAAGGAACGACGACTTGAAGCCAGCGACAAATTCATTTTAAATAATGAGACAGCTCGCACTACGATTGATAAACGATTCCATGCTCTTACAGCTTCAACTCGATCACCCACTGGCCAACCGCCTTTCAGAACTGCTTGATGATAGATGCCATACGTCACTGCATTCTGTTCCATACCACTTCTCTAAAATTCCAACAAAAGAAATTGATACATTATCCGAAATATCAGACATCGACTTAGGGGGAGAATTTTACGAACTTACCTGCATTGCTTGAAAGACTTTAACAGCAAGAATGGGATGCCCAAAATCGCCACATAACTGTATTACAATGCGGTAGCAGACCTGATCGAGCGGTAGAACGCCTGAATATTCCATTCTATCCAGAACCTAAATGAACTTGAAAAGTCTAGTAATTTGTCATTTCAAAAGTAATCAAGAACTGAATAAAGCAGAGAGATGAACAATGTTAACTCTCACAAATACTGAAGATCTTCCGAAGATGAAATGAGCTGTTAACACAAATGCAACCTTGACGATCAAAAAGCATAAACTCGGAACAGGGAATTATAAAATCTGGAAGAATTGACAAATCTTATAAAAAGAAGGTAATGTAAAATTCCTTACATGAAGTGCTAGTCGCAAAATCTTTACTTTTGACTTTGCAAGATGAACAAGTGAAGGTAGCAGCATGAACCAGATCGAGTATGCATAAAAAAGCAAAGTCTTTGGCCACGTGATTGGTGAATGTCGGGCATTTAATACTGCTGTTTCAACGGCACTTCGAGCCTCTTGTTTTGTACGAATCAGAGCACTCTCCAAACAATCTGAAAATTTAAATGAAATGGATATTTCTGCAAGGTACAATATACGGTAGAAAATTACATATGAAAGAAACTGTACCCTATTCACTACTTACCAATACTAGCAGCTGAGCCTTTCATTTCGATACTCATTTTGCGTAAATTTTCAAGCTGGAACAACGCTGGTTCAAGTTGCCTTGGGAAATATTCATATTTGTAGGTCAATTCTTGGCCATCCGAGTTGAAAGTAGATTCTGGAGGAGGAACGAATTCCGTCTGACAACTCGCTGACATCTCATATTCCAAAAGTGAATCATTCGATGAACGATTATCTTAAAAAGTGTGAGAAATATGATACACTTACCAATGTTATCATATGACAAGGAAAACTGCTCACACATCAATTATCAACTATTTCTTGATGGTCTTAGCTTATCACCAGAAGTCAAAGTCAAACTGATCTTTAACAGAAAAAAATTTAATAAATTAGATCAAATTTAAGTAAAAAAAATTTTAAAAATTAGAAAGAAAAACAAATTATCAAAAATGATTTGCATTCACATATACCAACGAGTTAAAGTAAGTACCACTTTGGGAAATTTTTGCAATACATTCATCAAAGAAAGCGTTATAAGTATTTTTGTCAGAAACAAATGACCGCTCCTCGATAAAACGATTAAACGATTGTGTTTCGCTGAAGCGTTTAAAAAATTCCAACGATGATCTGAAAAAGACTTTTGAAAACACTTTTAATTAGAATAATTGAATATGAACATAATCATACAAATTTATGCATTACAGCATAACTTAAGCACAGATGAATAAGTTAATTACTTATCACGAGAGCGAAGAAAGGCATCGAGGTCAAATAGTGAGCCCGTATCAGTGGCGCCCACACAAAGCGGAGCACAACGAATAGGTCTAAGGTAAGCAGTATATCCTTGCATCAAAGAAGCCATGAATCTGAAGGTAAAATTATGAAAATCCGTTAGTTATGTCCTTAATATTAATCTGTAATCCTCTGAATTTTAACAGTAGGTCATAAATACTTCGAACGTAATAGATCACGAAAGATCCATAACAGCAAAGAGTCTTACAACACCAATTGCAAGGAAACGATGATCTTTACCGAAGAAACGCATCCTGAACGCTGATTTCAAGCATCTTTTTCTTACGTTGTATATCATAATCAATATCCAGGGGCATGAAATCCATATTTTTTCGTAAAGCAATTACATTGAATTCTTCTTGATAAAGTCGTCTATGAAGCTGCTCAAGGCTGTTTTTAAGTTGTCGTGAAGCTTTCTAAAAAAAAGGAAAAAAAGGAAAAAAACGGTCGAACGGCATAACTTATTAACAAAACTAACAAAACCTTTCTTAAACTCCTTTTTATCCAGAAAAAGAATCAAAGCAATAAAAACTGACTATGTACGGTATTAACCTTCGGAAGCATACTAAGTTTCAACGTTTGTCGGATGGAAGAGAAACTAATTGTTGAAGTATCAAGATCGAAGCAAGTTACATCAGACGGTGGATCTTCGTAGAGATCGAAATACCTGCAAAAGTTATTATGAATTTCTGCCAGAGAAGTGCAAACCCTAAATTTCCATTAAGCCGTAAAAACCATTACCTTATTTAGTATTGAAAAAAAAGCAGTGTTTCAAATCTGAATTTCGAAACCTCACATATAAAAATCGAAAGTTTACTTCAAGACTTGGTGAATGCCCAAATAATCATTAAATCCATCTACCTGGAATCAACACCAGCAATAAATGGAAGTGGAGCATGAAGCACACCAGCAAGCGAAAGCGGACATTGAGGAATGTAGGGACATTGCCAGTGAAATGGGAACATCAATGCACAGACACTTTCCGCAACAGCGGTCAGTAGCCAAGGACGCAACGAATGAACTAATATTTTTTGTTCCAGTAACGCAAGCAGCATCAAATACCTAAACTCATGTTGAGTTTTAAAATTTCATGACTTTTTTAAACCGATAAATTCGTCTTTATGCATGGGAAGTGTTTGTAATGTTCAGTTTTATGAAAAATAAAAAAAAATTTTTCTAAATAAAAAACTGTTGGGGGTTTCCGATAGTAAATTCATACATCAAATTTTGTGGTCCTAAGCATTTCAGAGTATCGAAAAAAGCAGCTCCAGACAGAGGTAACTGCGAATCGTCATGGTTTTCGAATGAAATGGTTTCGTTACCCAATTGAACTAGTACGCGTGGACACCGTGGTGACGGAAATGATACTTCGTAAAGCTAAAACAACATATTTTGGACCAGGAAAAAAAAACTTCTTGATTTGGTCTACAAAATATCTTGCCAATGGAGCAAATATTATTAGTGAAAATGTAGTCTGAGATATTAGTTTACTTTACTGGCAACATTGGATTCACAAAAGAAGTTACAACCAAACAAGGAATATGTTTGAAAAAATACGAAATCCTTTTCTAAGAAGTCTATAAAAAAAACGCACATTATCGTTATGAAATAAACTTATTCAGTTCATTTGACTCTTGGAAAAACAAAAGTACTTCATATAAAAGAAAACACGCAGCAGCGGAAGAGCGAAACTCACAAGATGGGAAATATAACGTTCCACGGGCACAGTATGTGCACCTGACAGAGACATACGATGAAGGTAAAATAAGAATCGTTTGAACGCGTTGAAAAACGGATATTTTGAAATGATACAAATTGACATGTTGCTGTGGAACGTTATCTGAAGCAAGTTTCAGTACTTTTCATATAGATCAAAAAGCAATTGACAAGAAACCTCGGAGTTTCTACTAAATCTCTGAAAAACCTGCTCAGCTGGATCATTGATGTTAGAGGCATCCTCTACCGTCCCGCGCGTAACTGTTTCATTCATCAGTTCCAATTTTTCCATCTGTTCCATGTTGAGTGGCTTTGTGTAAGGTTCATAGAAAGTAACCGACGACCCATAAAGCTTACTTCCATCCTAAATACTCACTGAGTATTAACTTGAGGTTCACTGTCACTAACAGATTTAAAACACGGCCAAGATTATAAAGAACTCATTTACTAATGTCAAAATTCATTTCATCAAAAATCAACCAAACGGAAATCTCAATTAGTCGAAATGAAAAAATTTCTAAATAAAGAGGGAAATAGTACCTGATCAGTGAGGACGAAAGTAGAGAATGATTTGTCTGGTGGTTGACACCTTGCTGGCCAACATTCGATTAGAGCACCCACTGGAAGGCAAAACATTGGTATATTCTGAGCCAATGTAAACTTGTTATCTGAAGGAAAATGATCCAGAACTGCTGGTTTGTAAGCTATTCGTTTCGATGTCCCCTGTGATTTTTTATAGCACAGAAATACATCAGAACCAACCATGCCCTAAAACTGACGAGCATTTAGTGATATCCTATTTATCACTAGGTATGAACTTTCCGGTGTTCTGAATCGTATCTCACAGTATGCGGAAATATGCAAAAAATATAAAATGATTGAGACATTAAAGCACTTTATTATGACAAAGTGGTAATCTCATCAAATAAAAAGTTCTTGAGCAAATTTAAGTTAGAAAAAGATACACCTGCAAAAAAACTTTTTGAAAAAGCGACAACAGAAATCTTCAAACATTACGCAATTATTATTCCACTTAATGCAATGTAGCGTGACATTCTAACCTTGTTCAAGTTTTTTGGAATTTTATAGTAAGTATGTGGGGCTGCCTCTCCTTTATTTGCTAAAATGACACAGATATGAGTAACAACAAGTTGGCTTGGTGCACTATTGGCTTGTGCACGTCGATATGTCAGGAAAACACCTTAAACGAAAATCAAAAGTATATTACTGCAAATCAGTTAAATACAAGGATTAAAAAGAAGGATGGATTCAAAAAGTAGTGAATCAATACCTGGTGAGGCATTGTTAACATTGGCAGAACGGCCGAAAGGAGTCGTAAGTACGGTGTTCGAGTCAAGCATTGGCTTTTCTCCACGACCCTCATCCAGCACACCTGAGCATATCGGTCAAAATGAAGTCAAAATAAGTCATGGGCTAAAGTTATAGCAAACATTATTAGTGAACATATTGCAAAACTAACCGATGTCGACCAAAGGTGGCTTATGATACCCTCGGCGGAAACATAAAAAAACTGACGGTGTCCGTAATGAACCGTGGTTCAGATCAGCCGCGTATCCCATCGGTGTACTTGTGATACGCTCAAATCCATCTGGAACCTGGAAGAGATATAGCATGAACAGGGTGACAACAATGTATTTCAATTTCAAATTTAAATTAAAATGGATACAACAATACCGTCTCGCCTAGACTAGGGAAGATCACGCAGATATCAGTAATTGGGGCTAAGGGAGCTGAGTTCCGACAGCCACATTCCTGAGCTGTAGGTACTAGATCTTCAGCACCATCTTCCAAGCCAACGATAACGAAATATTCAAAAAGTCTTCTGCACTCCCCCATTCAAATTAATCTGAAATTAAACTATATTACCGAAAATTCATTTAGGGAGAAATACAACGTATTTCTGTTTAACAAAGTTAGATAAAACAATAGCATTGACCAAAACATGTCTTCCTGAAAGCAACAGTGTAAATCTTTTTTCTAGAACTGGCTTTATTGATACATATCTTCAAAATTTTAATTATTGGATTTAAAACAGCGACGTATAAAAACCCCATGAGCAACGCAAGACATCTCCAAATTAATTAGAGCGGCCATCAACGTCGCACCTCCAAGTAAAATCAGGTCGCCTTAGTGGGATTGGATTTTTCATTGATGATTTTCTTCCTTGCTTCGTCGTGATAGCGACATTGGATCGTTTCTTGGTTTTTTCGGTCTGTTGATCAATTGGACGAGGTAATTCGTTTTGGAATTACGAAGTATACTTTGGTGAATTACAGAGATTTTACAGTTGCTGTTTGAAATGCTTGGGGTTCTGAAAAGACGAGTCAACATCGTTCACGTACGTCGCGCGCGCCATATTCTATATGGGCACCAAAACATTTTGAAGCCAACTGATAGTCAGAATGAAGAGTAAGTTAATTTTTTGACAGGAGAAAAATTCTTTATGAATATTTAATGGAAAAAATATTTGTGGACTTGCATCTATTCTTGGAATATAAGGTCTTCTGCAAATCATGTTTGTGGGAATTATATGGAGGAAAAATTATGACTTATTCCAGGGTTCAAAAGAAAATTGTTGAACTGGAAAAAATCACACATCGAAGTGTTGTTAACGGTAGAAAGGTATTATGGAGTAATGCATCGGACTATTTGAAGGTATCAGAGTAATGCTTCTAGTTGTAGGAGTGTATCTAGCTTATGAAATAGTACGTTTTTAAAAATCGTCTTCCAAAGTTCTGAAAACTCTCGAACATATTAAAGTTTGGAAAAGTTTCGAGAATCAATCTTTCCACCTATTTCAGGCTAACAAAGCTCATGAACAGCTACGTAAAGTCCTAACTGCCTGTGCCGCAATAATGGCGATAAATGTGTTCTTATTTATCCAAGCTGGAAAGGACCTGAAGCGACGAAGGAAAAAAAACATGAGTGAGCGTGAAATGCAACGTAAAGAGTTAAATTTATCAGGCGAAGAGAGGCATAAAATTGGCAAACCGTTTGTGGTCAGTTGAGGATATCGGTTATCGGTTACTCACCACCGGTATCATTTCATAGCTTATTGGAGATTCATGGGTTTTCTAATCTTTGTTCAAGTGGTTTCCGAATAATTCCCATGAACCATAGCCTTTCAATTATTGAGAAACTGTCGAGAAAGGTGTTTGATTTGTACAGTGAGCAGGCCACCAATATAAAGCTTATTTGTAGTAGATATATAATAACAGCTCAGCCACAAATTTGGGTATAATTCAGACATTTGAATTATATGGTAATAATAACGATTAGATGATTAACGGAAGATGATATTGCTATAAGTAAAAAAGTGTGTGCGGCCTCTCGGTTTTAGAGCTTACAGGGGAGTTTGTTCATAACAGTCCATGAGCTCAAACCGATTCACCCCTGAGGTCCTTTACAATATACCAACAATGACCTGAGATCCTTTGCAGTGTGCCGGCATTGCAGATGAACTTAATAACCAACATGGGTTGATTTACATTTTACAACACGAATTGAGCAACACTTCTTTACAATATCGACAGTATTCGAACAAAGGCGTATAAGGTTCTTACAAGAATGAATAACGGCGTGTAAAATCTGTACAATATTCAAAAAAGCGATATATTTGAAATATAAAATTTCTCGGTTTTCTGATAGAAACTATTAGTTTTGCTATGTCAAAAAATCAGGGAAAGGTAATATATTTGAAAATTCTTTTTGATAAGCCAATCAGTTTACAATGTTCTTCCAATGCGATTGATTTTAGTACGTGTGCTTTCATTTGTTAATCGATTTTTTTCTTTTGTCCACACATCGATTCGAGTTTTTTTCTTTTATCCATGCATCAACCTATATTCAGACTCGCTTGAAGGATTTTAAGAAGTGAAAAACGCAAAAAAATTGAACAAAAAACGAAAGTTTTAGAACGCTCTGTGAGGTGCCTGAAGTGTATTCATTTTTATTGAATGAAATTTATCACTTAAAGAAACAGTTTTGGCTGAAGAATGGAAGAATTTTAAATTTATAAATGAAAGGTAAAAGATCAACAAAGCCAATTCATGAAATAAAGGAGCACTGCATCAGCGATTTCCGAGACACTGAGTTGTTAAAGTTGGACTAACCGTTCAAATAATTTGTGATGCTCCTTAAGTTTCCGATTGTAAGTGACAAATATTTTAGAAAAAGTTAAAAATTGTCCCAGGCAAGTTATGCTTTGTGATTTGTAATCATGCAACATAATTTTTGTGCCCTACTTTTAAAATTTTCAGTTCATAAATCCAGTTTAATTTGATTGAATTCCTTTTTAAGTGAATAACGAAGTTATCCAGCGCTTGTCCCAGTTCACCTAGCCTTTGCAAGGGATTTCATAAATTCGTTATACATCAGTGAGGTGGGGATCTTAAAAGTGCTGCAAGAAAAAAAAAAAAAAAAAATAATCAGAAGTGACAGCATTCTTGTGACCAGCTTCAGGGGCGACATTCTTAGCTACTCAGTGTTCCGTACATACTTCATTATTCTTTGTATATCTTCATTCACCGCACCGATTTTGCTTTGAACCTGATTTATCCTATTCTCTTTTATTGTTGACCCCTTGCGAAGGAGATTGGTAATGATTTTAAGAGCTGCGACTAGAACACAACTGATGGAACCTTCAAAGAAAAAGCGTAATTCGAAATTTATTTGGCAGTTGCTGCAACCATTTCAAGTTATTTCATTTCAGATCTTTCCTGCTTGACCTTTCGCTTCATCCTAATTGTCAAGAACCTTCGATTTTCACCCAAAAATGACTTCATTAAAGAAGGCACGGAAATACTAGATTATGTGTGTTACATGCTGATTAGGCACTGAATTCAATACTTGAAGAGGGTGTTTTTCACTGACTGGGAGGGGGAAGTGGTAGGGAGAGGAGGAAGAGAGATTATAACTGCAAATACATTAAAATTTCAAAATTTTAATTATGAACACTTAGCTGATGTTTATTAACTTGATGATTCTGATTGAGCGTCCCGATCTCATTTTATTAATTAATTGTTTTATGACCGAACTGAGTAATAAGGATATCAGTGGTACTTGTGGTGTGTAAATGCACCACGGGTAGCGCGAGGTGAACTTTCTTTGTGATCATTTCTGCTCACATCCCTTCAGGTCCTTCATTGTTATACCTCGGTGGTGCTGACTGCCGACCCACGTCATTTGGCTTTGCAGTACTTGAATTCTCAGTGGTAATCATGAGCTAACCACTAGAAATGTTATTACAGATTTTCGCTCAATTCGTTGAAATGTTCGCAACCAAATATTGCTGTTGTAGAAGAAAAGATTTGCGAAATTTGGGTCTTGCAAAGACTTATTGCAACTTGGTGAGTGCTGTGGAGTATGGATTTTATCTAATTGGTGGGGATGATGTGGGGGCCAAGTGGAGGGATGTGTCTGTTTGGGTACTGTTGTTTTCAAGGAACAGTTGAAAATCTTATAAAACCGAAAATAGTTCTTGCTTTAAAAGATTTAGAAGTTGTTGCAGAAGTAGTTCCCCTTGCTGCAGTTTCGTTTTTGTTCAGAAGACAAAAGAAAATGGCTGAAGAAAACGTGGTCAGTGCTAACGATAACATACGAATTGTTTCCAGTTTTCTTTTGCATTCTCCTCCTGGAGAGTTTAATGAGGTTTGATTTAAGTTTCTTTAAATTTTTATCATACCAGATGTCGAAAATGTCGTACTGAGAAACCGAGTGCTTCACCAGTCTCACTACGTATATAATTTCGAACATTATTACTGCTGCTGGCAGTCCTGCATCTTAAATGACAAAAGACGATGTGATAAATGAGAATTTACAATTTATGGCAAGTATAAGACTTAAATTTTTGATGTGCTCAATTGGTGGGAAGTTAGATATTTTTTTTTCTTTTTTTTTTAATACAGTTGTTCGTCATGATGTTTTGATGGTTCATTACAATGCATCCTGCGCCTGTGTCATTTCTATAACCTACATATGGCCTGCATATGCCTCTTTAAAGAGACGTGTCAGTTATCAAATTAATTCCTTTAATTCTAGCAATTAGGATATCATTAGTTCATTTTAATAGGCGTTAACTACCTAACATGTAGCAGTGTTACTGCATTCTGGAATACATTCCTTTGTGCTTCAGCATTTGTTGGACATATTCTTGTGATGTCATTATTAAGTTTGACTGCTGACAGCAAAATTCGTTTGTTCAAGGTTTTCAGAAGGATTTGAGCTAAAAGAAAGTTTTTAAAGCTGTATCTTTGGACTTACCAAGTATGGAAATATTATGGTATGTTTCATAGGTTTTTAACGATGTGCGTATGTTGCTGAACAACGATAACCTACTGAAAAATGGCTGTGCGGCTGTATTCGCACAATACAATAAGGAGCAATTTATACCTGTAAAATTGGAAAGTGTTGATAAACAGGTACCACTCATTTCAGCTTATGAAATTGGAAATCTGGTTTTCCTTTGCTTTATAGTATTCTGTATAGGGATTTTAACTTTCAGAAATGAGAAATCTAGTTTTTGGAATTCAGTGGAATTTATCTTTTTAGCGGTTTCGATTGCCGTTTTCTGCGAAATGATCCAGCTTGAGATGTTGAATCCTATGGAGCTTGTTCTTTCTTTCAGTATTCTATTTGTCAGTATGAGTGCAAAAAAAAAAAAAAAGAAGAGAAAACCTTATTGTGCAAGAAAGTATACAAAACTATGCAAAAAAGTGACATATTGAAATGCAAAATTTGTGTTTTTCTATACAGGGAAAATCTTTTTTTATTAATTGCAAGAATATTGGGGAATTTAGCTGAAGAGCCATTAGTGTAAAATAGGAACTGATGTGCATCACGATATCTGTGAAGTTTTGGTTACAGACTTTAATTACACCATTCAATGAAATGCCGAATGGCCGATTTTACGATCCTAGATCAAGAAATTCGTTCAAATATGAGCATTTACGGAAAGAAGCTACCGATATCCAAATTGAAAGTGCAAATGACGGAAGTTCTGAAGCTTGGCGGAAAGCAGTGCAGGAGGTTTGTTGTCTGGAATTTACTTAATTGATTGTCGCCCATGATACAACGCATCTTAGTTATTTGATGATATGATAGGAATATCTGGAAATTATATGCTGTAGTAAGGAAGCATGGACCAGTTTTTTGAGTTTAAAAGTCAAAAAATATACGGAAGCTTGAGATAATGTGGACGATGGACTCGAAGTTTTTTTCAGTTTTCTTTTAAACAATGAGCTATTTCTATGTTGTAAGTATTGCAACTAATTATTCAGGAAGCTGACAAATACACTGACAGTCACTACGAAGAAACGGGTATAGCAGCAGTATTTGTGAACAACGACTCATTAACGTTGTGTATCGAAAGTCATCGTTATCAACCCAAGAATTTCTGGTAAAATACTATCATCGATTATTTTGCTGTATAATTAATGGAACTATCGGTCAATTCAAGAATGATATGAATTTCAAATTCATTATCAATATTGACTATTCAGTAATGGTATCATTACTGAGTTATCAAAGCTAGGAGTTATCAACATTGATTTTACATTGCAGTATGCTTTATGTGCTTTCTTGCACATTAAGGTTTTTTTTTTTTTTTTTTTTTTTTGCGCTCATAGTGACAAGTAAAATACTGAATGAAAGAACTAGCACTACAATAGTAGATTCATAAATTAGGTTCTTCAGTTGTGTATTTTAAGTTACCCATTTTAATTGCGACAGGAATGGGCGATGGCGTTCGCAGTGGACAATACCTATTGCGGATGGCAAAAACGGACAATGTGAAATTAAAGGTATCATCAAAGTACATGTACATTATTACGAAGATGGTAATGTTCAACTTGTATCAACAAAGGAAACATCTACCAAAATGACATACACTGTTAGTTTTTATAAATCTGTTTTGAGTTCGTTGTTATGGAAAAAGGGGAAAGAAGAAAGGAGAGATAAGACAATTCCAGAACAAATTTTCAGGCTGACATCGTACAAACTGCAAAAGATGTATTTAGAATAATTTGGGATGAAGAGTCGAAGTATCAGGCAAGTTCTTTTATATTAGCAATAATTATTAATGACAGAACGGCAAGGACATTAACACTGGAAACTTGAAGAAACTCTTTTAAAATGGAGTTTGGAACATCACTTTCAGGATGCGGTCCAAGAAAATTACCAACAAATGTCTGCTACAACATTTAAAGCCCTACGACGTCAATTGCCCGTAACGGGTGTGAAATTTGATTGGAACAATACACATGCATATCGAATCAGCAAGGACTTGAAGCCACAGTGATTGTTTATGTCAATGAGAAAGGTGAAAGTGTTTCTCTGCAGTTCTTGGTATCCATAAACTTGTATTTAAAGACTTCCTTCTAATATAAGTCCATAATAAGCAGGCATGGAAATCGCATTAAAACTGCTTTTAAATTCATGGTTCCTGAGGTTGAACTTTAAGTTAGCGAGTTAACTCATAACTTGGTAGCAAGATTTTTTAGAGATATGCCTGGATGAAAATTGAAATCGTTACATATAGATTGGCAAGACAATTGGTAATACTGGTTTGTCGATATACTGGCCTTTTCAAATTTATTTTAAATGGAAAATAACCATTCTTCTCGATTGCCATTAGATCAAAAAAGAACTTGCTGCGAAACTTACTTGTTGGCTAACAGAAGCTTTATTCCAAAGTCCTTTGTCGTTATTTGTTTTGTTGCTTAAACTTTACACAAAGATGTGACATCAAACATTCAAGTCTTCCAAAAATATTAGGTTTTGTTACCAGGAGATCCTTTATTTCGATTTGTGCTTGGGTATCCTGTTTATCCATTACGATTTTCAAAAAATATTAAGTTTTATCCGGACACTTGTATGCATCACTTTGCTTTTATTATCCGGAGTTATATATCTCAAATAATTTTACCTTATTCATCTCCACACTTTGTTCAATATGGCTTATGGCGTTTTGCTTGAGCTAATGCCGAATATTCTTTATTAATTTTCATGGTAGTGATGTTTATAAAAATACGTATTTTGAGAACTTCACGCAACTATTTTTACAGCACATTTCGAAGTTCGTGGGACGATGCATGAAATTCGTGGAATGAATAGTTGAGGACCAAAGGACGCGATTTTTCTTTTATTAATCGATGGCTAGAACTCCTTCCTTACAAAGGATAAATCAAGAACAATACATTCTCTTATCAGTTTCCCTCAAGAACAATACAAATTAGGATCTTATTTTTCTTGAGTAGAGTCCTTGGATATCAAGCTTGTTCAGCAAGTGCTCTTAGTATGAATTTCCAAGGAACGTAAAGAAATGACGGTCATTCGTATTATTTCCCCATTCTCTTCCGCAATGATTCCAGTGAAACATTGCCCTACCAAGGTTTCAAAATTTTTCACATGGAGTTGCAATGCCCGTAGTATTCTAGTATTCACACGACTTCGTCACAAGTGGAAATACTAGAACTTTGCTATACCTATTCGACTATTCACGAAGATAATACTCGAAACAATTTTTGCATATTTTGCAAGTTGCAACAGTTGGTGCTTAAACAAGATTTGCTTCGTTGCACAGTTATACTATTCAAATGGCTGGTCCTCTACAAAACCTTGGTACACTGGAACCATTTTGGTAGTGAATGCGCTTTTCCACAGGACGTCCTCCGATTAATGTATATGAAGAGGGAGAAAAGAAAAACCTTTTTTTAGCATCCTACAACGTTACAAGCTATCTCTCACTTCACACCACGGATACTGAGGTGTACAGTGAGGCTAGTATTTCAAAGTATTAGCATATGTTAGTCATAAAAGCTAATACTAACCAGAAAAAATATCCAAATTCTTGATTATCACTGAATGACCATCAAGTATTACAGCATCGCGGATGATTGAATATCTTCAAAGGAATATGAAGTCCGAAAAAAATGCTTGAATTAAGTAAAACTAAACATGTAAGAGCAAAGAGTGTAAATGGAAAGAGGGATAAAATAAAATTTGGCGAAAGTGTCGTACTTGAAATCCTTTCAAATCTTGGCGAACGGTACAAAATAAAATTATCTCACCGTTTTTAATCAGTACAATTCGGTAATACGTACCTTCTCGAAAAAATTGTATAAATGACAACATTCTCAAGAAAATAGCATTTATAGTTAGTGAAAGACGTTCCTGGAGGTTAACGTCTAGTCTGCACCATCTGGACTTGCTTATTTGCATTAACTTCCCTCGCGTGTAAAAGGAAACCCTCCACAACTCCTACAATCTCGACAGTGCGAAGTATAGAGAAGATCCACACATGATTGCATACTGTAGAAAATATTGAGACAAACTTCCATCACACTATAACATCATTCCGAATATGAAGATTCGCCCTGCCGCATCGGTGAAAGTGATATGTCACGATCATCGGGATATCGTCATGTGCTGATATTGCTAGTGTTGAAACCAGACTTTTCGATTCTCTATCCATTTTCAAATATACAAATTCTATACAGCTGAAAAGTAAAGTTTAACTGCGCAGTTTGTTCATATAACCAATTTGCCCACTTTTTTCACGATTTTTCGAAAAGCATTGAAGTTCTAAGATTAACTTGGGAAGCCCACAGGTGCTATATAGTACGTTTGAACATCCCAATAGGGTGTGTATTGCTATCAGCAAAAGTTCATGCTAATTGTTAATATCTAGTTGTGGGAGGTAGGTGCTGTTATGGGATGGACTTAGACTTTGGTGAATACCTGGTAACTTTACTAGGTTATTCAGCGACACATTTCACTTTGGGAAATAAAAGTCCTACCTCATCCTGATTCAGAGCTGAATCTCAGCAATCATTTAGCACAAGTCTGACATATTTGAAAACGTGTCGATGCTTAGCGAAGCTCGCGTGTTACTGACTACTGCTATCTTTTAAATCAGCAAAACCTTTCAGAAAAATGAAATGAAATTTAAACCAACCAACTTTGTGATGTTGACCTGCAAAACTTGAAGATGTGCTGCAACGTGTTGGGTGATTCAAGCTTTCCTCCAGTGTTCTGTAAGAAGGGAAGGCTATCCAGAATTTTATATTTCATCTTCTCATTGAATATTTTTAAAGTTTGAAAGCAACGATGCCATAAATATTCTGCTGATATGAACAAAGATGAAATGTGAGGGAGTGTCGAGAAGGAGAGATTGATTATACAGTGAGCAGGCTATCGATGGTAAAGTTTATTTATGGTGAATATTAAACCAGATACATCCCAATACAAAGCCCGTAGGCACTGGCCGAATGCTGCTTCGGTTCTGTGAATCACACAATACGAAGAAGTCGGGAGAGACAACGTTATACCTAGCTTAAAATGTCGGGACATTATTATGAAAGAGAAGATTGGACAATGTGACACGAACTTGTTGGATTTAATGGATTACAAGCTGATTATTGGAAAATAGATTAGTATTGTTTAACTCGAGAAAAGTGACCACGTACTTTCTGAAAATGTATCCGGAATCGTGAAGCTTCGATTCAGCAAAGATGAGAGTTATGTGGGACTCAAATATTCAGTGGGATAGACGGATCAGAACAAAGTTAAGGCAGGGGTAATATAGACGTCGAATAATTCACTAACCGAGGTTTCAGTGTACCACTGCTTAAAGCTTTGAGTGTAACTGTAGCGTAGCAAAAGAAATATTCTTCGTAGATGTTTGGTAGCTGAAGCACTAGATATTACAGTATAAATGAATATTTTTTGCTGACCGTTTTTATTGTGTGATTATAGCTTTTATGCATTGAGTCAGCCTGAATCATTTGAATTTTTCTTCCTTTTTTAAGCGATACATTTGTTCCATTCGTCTGCTGCTTATCAAGAGCACTCAAGCTTTTTGGCATCCAGCTCATTTTATCAGTAATTGTCACTTTATTTCTATGGAAACATGTTGACAATTACTCGAAGCTACTGCGTTGTGGTAGCTGAGGTGAGTGTCGAGTATCCATTTCGTCTTCATGTGCATTAATTGTGGCGTCTTTTTCATGTTGATAAGTACATATTGTACAAATGGCAATGATTCAAACACTAAAAAGTGGAACGCGTATATGTGAAGTGACGTTCCTGTTTGTCGCTACATTGTACTCTTGGGTGTCGCAAGTAATGCCATATGTTCTGAATGACAAAAGTGCTTTTAATATTCATTTTCTAAGGTCATAAAAGAACCACGAGAAAAGGCTTCATTCATTTCGAGCTTATAACATTCGTTACGTTGATTGAATCTACGATAGTTTATTTAAATGCGTTCGCCCTCTAGATACCTCACATTTTATTCCTTCCTTTATAATTTTTATGTCATTGGAAATATTATAGTCATATTATAACTCATAACCCCTCCTCTGTATATCTTTCCACCGTCGCTTTATTGCTTTAAAACAAGCACCAGTCTTATATGGTAGTGCTTTATATGATAAATCGAAACATATTAGATTAATACATTTCGTGAAATATTCAGTTGTTGCTCTAAAAGCAAAAATTTTAATAAGGAGGCATTCAAATCCCCCTCCTCGAAAAAAAAGTCCGTCATACAACTTCTCTAACGGTTATTTATATAACGTAGAACCTGTAAAATTTATTCATTTAAGCTAAGGTTGAAACGTCAGCATTTTATTATTCACAGCATGATTGTGACTTCCAAGTAAGCCTAATTAGATGGTGAGTCTGAGTATTGTTGCCGCGCTACCTAGAACATTTGTAAGACCTAATGTACTTAATTATTTATGTTTTCGGTGGAAACATGAAGCATCCTGCTCCATTAAAGTGCACGCAAAGAATTATGGCGACAATAATCCTTCCAAGGTTATCCATGAAAATTAGCACATCATGGAGGGATTATTGATTTAGACATCTTTCCAGTTATTCTATTTCTGGCTTTCTTTTATGCACTGCCATGTTTCGAAATAGGGAGAAATTCGAAACCAAGGTTACTCATATTACCAGCACATACAGTGCTGAATAGTATTCGTTTACAATTTTCATGTCATATTTTACTCAAAAGCCAGACTCAGTATCGCCACACGTAATATTCCCAGCAACATCCTGAATTCCAGAAACTGTCACCGACTTTGCAATGCCTATATTACCAAATAGGTCCAGATTTTGCACTGTGTGGCTGCTCCTGTAATCCACGCTGGACCACTATGAAAAAACTGGGCTCATGCGGAGGTGTGACATAACATTTTTACTTAATAGAAAAGTTGGAATTCCATTTCAAGGTGGTTCTAGGTTGGAGTATCCCAGTCAGTGGTATGGATCTGTAGACATTATGAAGCAGACATGGTAAAGGTCTTAAAAATTGACCTAGTGATAGGATTCAGCTGTGTTTTTCGTCACATATTCTATTAATACACCAAATTTGATTTATTTGAATGGGTGATATGTCCAGAACTGTAATCCTATGGCGACAAAGTAGCATTGGATATCTGGAGAGCACTAGTTTGATGGTAAATGTCACGATATTAGAGGATTGCAATACCCTGATTTGGAGATGTTTAGCTTTTGAAAGTGATGTCTATCTAAATACGACATTATGACGGGACTCTCCCTTGGACCAAAGATGCTAAACACGAACTTTCAAAGTATATTGCATTAGTTGCTGGATTTTTTCGTTCTTTTAGTTCTGAGACTGAGCATAAAATTGAAGCAACGACTTTTTAAATTTTATATTAAAAAGAAAATGTGAAATGTGGTAAGAAATTATCTTAGCAATGAATCATCTTTCAACGTAGGTCTGTATTGGCTTTATACTGAATTCCTTTCTGCGGTCTTATTATGTGGGTTGCAAGGTTTAATATCATTCCATACCAATAATTTTGTTTTTTGAGCAGAGTTGGATACCCGCATTTCCCTTAGTGCTTCTTCCTCGAAAAGATTTTTTTTTATTCGAAAATATTTCTTGTTAGAAAAATACAGCATCAAGCTATGGTCGATTTTAGGAATATTTTCAACTTAATATACTGTCCATTTGAACTCATTTTATTTTTGTAGATCGTACAATCTCGCAAGCGATGCGTGAGTATAAAATTGTTGTATTGGGAAGTGGCGGTGTTGGAAAAAGCGCCTTGGTAAGTTGAGCTCTCAAAAAATTTACATAGACTTGGAGGTGTTTTACTCTGGTGAATTGGCTGTTTGAGTTTATTTTATTTATGTAGACCGTGCAATTTGTGCAAGGCATATTTGTGGAAAAATATGACCCCACCATTGAAGACAGTTATCGAAAGCAAGTAGAAGTTGATGGTCAGCAATGCATGCTCGAAATCTTGGATACTGCTGGAACTGTTAGTTGTTATTTTTTGGTTTTTAAGGGATCGGTCTCGAGTTGGAATTAACAGTTTTGTTTAAAGTTTTCACGTTGTGACAATTTTGAAAATAAAAATATTTCAACAAATTCATTCAGGAACAATTCACAGCTATGCGTGACTTGTATATGAAAAATGGTCAAGGATTTATCCTGGTTTACTCCATTACGGCACAGACCACTTTTAGTGACCTCACAGATCTGAGGGAACAAATCTTGCGTGTCAAGGATACGGAGGAAGTCAGTATTACATATTTTGTTGTGTTTGCATAATGTATGTAGGAATACTATCTTTCAGTCACTGAGATGAGATGGTAGGATGTTTAGCATTACTAGAATCGGTTTTAAGAGGAATGATCTGGTTTAACCTCTCTGTACCAAGGCATTAAATGAGCTGTGCTTGCATTGTCATGAACTTGTCCCATTTTATAATACTTTCGCAATTCACAGCTTAGACTTGAAGCGAGATTTCGTATCTTTGAATTAGACCCAATTGGTTTTATGTTATTGCTAAAACTTTTAAAACCCAGTTTCTTGAACTACTTTCGAATATGTTTCAGGTACCAATGATCCTTGTTGGAAACAAATGTGATCTAGAAGATGAACGTGTTGTGGGTAAAGACCAAGGATCTAATTTAGCACGATCATTCAACAGTGCTTTCCTTGAAACTTCAGCTAAAGCAAAAATTAATGTTAACGAAGTATGGAATAAGTTTTCCAATTTTGAATAAGCTAGTATATGAGATTCTTCATGGCTTTCAGAATCTGCAATAACATGACCACCTCAAATTATTCCCACAAAATCAATTTGAACCACTGATAATGTGGATCAGCCTCATAGGGTGGAGCATATTTCTTAGAAGGAAATTCCAAAAAACTTTATGTCTTGAGTTTAACTCATAAGTTCAGACTTGAAGCTACTGCTGGCTCAATAAACGGGTAATTCTAAAAGAGTTATGCAGTTGTGGAAGGATTTCGAGGTAGTCAAATCAGTAGTCGGTTGTATTGTATAATCATTTAGCTTGATGTTTTAATGTCACTCTAAAATTTATATTAAGGTTTTTTACGACCTTGTTCGTCAAATCAATCGTCGTCATCCGGAAATAAGCAGACGTCAAACGGGTTCATCAACATGTTGTTGCAACCTGATGTGATGTCCATCTACAAAATTGGTGCTATTCATTTCGAAGTATCTTTCTGTCCGGAATAGTCAGGGCTGTTAAATGTGCTCCTGGATATGGCATATTAAATCTGCTTTATTGGTACATGTTTGTCCGTTATAATTTTCTACTACTGGCGTGCCTTCGAAATGGATGAGTGAACCAGTCATATTCATCATATGAAAGTAAAATCTTCTGCATGAAACTTTATTACCCTAAACTTTATTTTCTTCGGTTTTCTTAAATGTTGCACTTCTTACTTGCGACCTTACTAGTCACATCTTTTGTTCAATAACTTCCCGTAAAACGGCATGGGAGTTTGCCAGTAGTAAGAAGTGCGCAATCATTGAAAGAAGTGCTTATGTTTTATTACGCTGCCAGATTTGATTTTTTATCATTTATAGAACTGTTAGTGTGATTATGAATCCGTTCTACTTTTTTTGCCGCTTTAACCACATCAATTTTAGCTGTTTGAAATTTCTAAAATTTCGATATGCTTCAGGAGTAATTTGAACCAAGTGGCAGATTGCTGTCAACTAAATATGTGTGGCAAAAATTCTACTGTTTCTTCTTTGTATTTCTCTTTTCATTACCATTTGTGTTTGTTACGTTTTGTTTATTTATATCTTCCAAACTATTTGTCGTTGAGGTACTTTTGTATTCCCAGAAATTATGTATGTGTAGTTTTATTCACACACCATACAGCATAGGCTGTTTTCCTCCTATTATTAGTAATTATTAGTAAGCAGTCAGTCAGACTGTAAATACAATGCACTGTAACGAGATGCTTTTTCCATGCCGTGATTTCTTTCTTATTTTTCTGCAAGACTTTTCGTTGGCTGTCAGATGGAAAATTCGCCTTAATACTATGAAGC